TACAGCCCAACCACCAGTCCCCTCACTGCTCTGGCTGCTGCTGCTGCTACCAGTGTCTCCAGACTCCCCCTGTTCCCTTTGACTTCTGCCTTCTGGTTCTGCCTCTGGAGGGACTGGGGCCTTTAGGACCTAAGGAGCTAGGTACTTTAAAAAAGAAAACTTTGAACCTAGTGCTTTCAAGATGGCTACTGGCTCTTTACCTTACTGCTAGATTTCCATAAAAAGTGCAGCAATACAACATGCAGTAATAGTAATACAGAAATCAAACTCTACTACATCAATGACATATCAATTTGCAATTACATGCTAATTTTAGCAAATACCTCAGATTTAAGCCTTTCAATTTCCGTGTCTTGATCTTCAAGTTGATGTCGAAGCTGATTGGCTGCAATCTTTTCAGTTTCTACAATCTGAACTAGATGAATATACTTCTGCATTAACACTTCTCTCTCAATCAGAATGTCTGAGTAACTAGAAATGAAAATAATGAAATTAGTAAAATAGCCCATTAATTTCCAAAGCTTCTTGCTAGAAGATGCTGACAGAGAAAAACTCACTTTTATGGTAAGTAACACTCCTTTTTTAAAATCATGCTTATTTTATATATATAAAATAAACATTTTAGTACAGTCAGAAAACTTTGAAACTTATAAATGTTACAGGCTTTTAAAATATCTTTTACTTTTACAAGACAGGTCTGTCTCATCATTACTACAAGTTCTGGTAGTCAAATCTAAGGGAAAACAACAACAAGGTATTTTATTTAAAAATATTGTATTCAGACTAAGCCCAGGAACTTTATTAATTTATTTTTTCCATCAAACGCTTTGCTTTTCCTTTGTATTTCCTACTACCATATTGTTTTGCATACAGCATACCCCCACATAAAGCACATGCCTTGTTTTTGGAAGGCAGAATGTAGGAGGGAAAAGATTTTTCCAGAGTCCTGGTCAACTGTGTGATATTGAGTGCCCCGCAAGTGTGGCATTGCAGGAGAGACTGATGAGACAATAAGAACTGCCTGGTGTAGTAGACTGTTTCCTGGGGATGCCACACTTCCTGGACACACTATGTTCCCAGGACAACTCACACCAAGTTCCCAGGACGACTCATTCCATATCACACAACATTATACCTAGACTCTGCTAAGGATATTAGCAAGACTGTTACTTCTTAACTGTCAGCAGTTTTTTATATATGTTCCTGTAACTAAAATACTGTTGCCATACCATAAGCCTCATCAATATAGTACCAGCAGCTCACTTGCTTTTTCAGGCATAAGCTACAGTGTTCAGCCAACAGCAACAGCTGTGAGCGGGTTAACACAAGACTCTGTCCCTCCAGCTTGTCAAGCCATACTAGTGGCAGCCATCTTGGCAGCTGCATGACATGCACAGTGAATCCAGGTGTGCTTCTTTTCTAGGAAAGAAAACTGCTTCCCCTTAACATACATCCCAATTTGGGAAGGCTGATTTGAGGAGAAAGGTACAAGTTATATGCAAGACAATACGGTACTCGGTGTGGCAAAGTGGGGTCCCTGATTAGCCACCGTGCTGGTTTTCCCACCTGCCTTTGGGCATGCCACCCACCTGCCTCACCTGCCATGCCTTGTTGTTAATTGATCAAGTTGTTAATTAAGACGGGAGGCTGCCCATTCTTGTCCCAAGGCCAGGGGACACTATCTGTGGCTCTGTTCCTCCCCTACACCTCAGCCCAAGCCTGGCAGATGGCATCCAGATGACCCAATGCTCCTGGCCTACAGCCAGGCCAAGCTTAGCCCTCGTTGTCAAACCACAGACACATACACATTCATACCACCCTTCTCTCACTAGGGCCTCACACACTCCACCCTCTCTCACCCTGAGGTCTCTCACAGGGTCTCTTTCACATGTTGACAACTTGTACTGCCTTGCTCCCTCTTGGAACGGGCCCCTGAGGCCACAGGCTTTAGCTAACTCATACCTTGGGTGGCAGATGTACCGTCTTCTGGGCCTCTCCCGTGACCCTCACCAGGGTAGTGGCCAGCCAATTACCTGACCGAGTCTAAGCTTGCCCTGGCTCCTTCTGGGGCTGGGGCTCCACACCATCCCCTCACTGAAGCTGCCCCCTCAGTGGGGCTCTACATCTCACACTACCTCGCTCACTGGGGCTCCAGACCCACCCCCTCACTGGAGCTGTCCTCTCACTGGGGGTCCTCATTTCTGCCCCCTCACTGGGGTTCCATACCACCCCCTCACTGGGGCTATTGGGCTTCCCTCCCCTGTGGGGCTCAGGTGGCTGTAGCCATGCCTTCCCCCTACTACCTCTCCTCCGGGTCCTGCACCCCACAGGGCTCAGGTGGCTACAGCTGTGCCTGGCCCCCACTCATTCTTAATCCACACAACTAGTGCTCCAGGGTCTCACAGGGACTCTCACTCCCCCTCTGGAGCAGCGGGTCATTGTGCTCTACTATAGCTCTTACTTTCGACCCACACTCAGCCTCCCAGTGGTGGAGGGCTTACCGGGGTCAGGACTCACCCCTCTCTCAGACTGAGCCCCCTTACTCGGCCTCTGGCCCAAACTGTGGCCTCAGGCATCTCTTGACCTCCCCTCACTGGGGCTCCACACTGCCCACTTACTGGGGCCACAGGGCTTCCCTCCCTGGTGGGCTCAGGTGGCCATATCCATGCCTGGCCCCAACTACCTTTCCTCGGGGTCCTACACCCCACAGGGCTCAGGTGGCCACAGCTGTGCCTGGCCCCAACTACCTCCAAAGTCACATGACCCACCTGAAGGTGAGGGCTGGGGTTAAGGCGCCCCAACCCACCTTTCACCAGCATGGTAACTGGCCTGGCATTTCCTGGGGGCTCCCGCACCACTAAGAGCCCCAACCAGGCCACCCACTCCCAGCAGGATACAGTTTTAGGTCATGCCCAGGACCAGGAGCCTCCAACCATCCCCTACAGCTCCTGCCCTCACCTCCAGGATGTTGTATACTGCCTGGCCTGCCAGCAGTGAACTGCTATATTTATATAGGTGGCCAGAGGTCTAAAATGGCCGCCGCAATCAAGCACCTGCTAACTGCTTGGCTCTGCTCTTAAAGTGGCAGGCACCAACAGTGCCCTGTCACACTTGGCATTCACTCTATCTGCACCTATTAATCTGGCGACATGCCCTAAGTAGGACTTTTTATTCATATTTAATAAATACAATGAATTATTTAGTTTTGGGTTTGTTTGTTTTTTATATATTTCAGGGGTTTTTAAGCCAATTTAATATACCAACAGACTTTTTCTTCAATTAGTCTCAGAAATTATACCACAGTTGCTTTTTCTCTCTCTCCTTTCCTGGTGTCTTATTTCCTGCATTCTGACAAAACACTGTATCTCTAAGCCATATCATATGCCACTACCAGAACTATTACCAAGCTCATTATTAGGGAAAGGAGAAACTTCATGAACTTTCATGGTATCACATTTTAAAGTCAGTTCTTCTTACCTAAAATCTTGGCTTCACTATTTTTTTCCATTCAATTGATTCTCACTTAAATAGATACTGTTTTGTACAGAAAAGAACATAAACCTATGAAGTACCATTTACTCTGGCCCCAATTCAGCTAAGTATGTAAGCATGTGCCTAACTTTTAGTCTATGGCTTACTGAAGTCAAGCAGAGTGTTGACATGCTCAAAACCATTTTATTAAATATGAGCCAAACTGCATGGCACCTTCTCTAAACCTTTTGTGCGTGCTCTTTTAAATGATCTGTGGTTAATTTTTACCCATAATATTATGGCAAAATGTTGACTACTGACTTTCTTTTAAACTTTTGGCAGGAAAGGACTTAGAATAAAAAGGATTGCACTAAGTTAGTCTTACTGAATATCTTTTAATTTTACATTTCCTCCCTTATTTTGTAGAAATCATTTATAATTAACATTTTCATTAGTTTATTTGGGGACTTTAGCTAAAAGTATTTAAAAATTTTAAAAGTAAATATTCATATTCTATGACACTTCAACTTTGTATATGAACTATCAATTCAATAAGAACAAGTACAGGAAGTGGCCAAGATTTAGTACAGCTATCATATTCAGTTGTTGATCTGATACACAAGTTCAGATTTCATATAATGGGAAGGAGATCCCAAGGCCATAATAAAATAATTTTTCTCCAGATGTATTATGAAAAAGATAAAAGTGTGGAATGTCCCACTACACTACTAAAGTGTTTTTTGTTTTTTTATTATGATAAATTAGTTCAGGTAGTAAACAGTCCAGGTAAGTAGCAAGGGCCCCGCTAAGAATCAGAATGGGCAAGTAGGAAGGGTACCCACTGGGGGGCTTAGATGCCTCTATACTAATGCTAGGGCATGGGGAACAAGCAGGAGGAACTTGCACTCCTGCTTGCAAACAAAGAATTCGACCTGGTTGGGCTAACAGAAACTTGGTGGGATCCTACCCATGACTGGGCAATGGACATCAAGGGCTATAGGCTGTACAGGCAGGACAGAGTGGGGAGAAGGGGGGGGTGGGCATTGCTGTCTATGTTAAGGAGCAATATGCATCTTCTGTAGTTAAATTGAGACAAGAGGAAGGGCATATTGAGGCACTATGGGTCAGGTTACAAGGGGGTCGGGGTGAAAGGGACCTGGTAGTGGGAGTCTACAACAGACCCCACACCAGGAGGACAAGTTAGATCTAGAATTCTCAAGACAGCTCTCAGAGGCAGCGCGCTCAAAGGACCTGGTCATCATGGGTGACTTTAA